AAATCAGTTAAGTCCGATTCAACCAGGTTTATCTTAAACCAGTTTCAGCCATTTTGAAACTGGTTTATGTGCACTGAGCCTATGTTCTGCAACATGGTTTAACCAGTTCCTGATCACTTAAACTGGTTTATGTGTAATGTCTGTCCCTAGCCGTAAGGAAGAGGCATCGACCTCTAAACAAAAAAAACCCAGCACTGTGAGCAGAGAGATCCTACCCTGGACAACCTGCATGAGAAGAAGCATCTCAAAGCTAGTATAGCAAAAGCTGTGTTAACCAGCACCTTACAAGCCAGCATGCTCTGTTAACCGGCATGCCTACTTGTAAGGGAAAAGCGAAACCAGAAGTGCCCACTGTGGCACTTCAGGTTTCACAGAGCCCCAATAGCCTGGGGTAAAGCAGCCTGCGCTGCCAAGCCCCCACAGCCCGGGGTATAACAGGCTACACCGGTCCCCCCTCCCTGTCCCTCGCGGCCCATGGGAGAGGTAGCGATGCAGCAGGCGGGATAGGCGGCAACGCAGTGGGAGGGGCAGCGACACCCCAGATGTGGCAGGACAGGTGGCAGCCCAAACAGGCAAAGACGCCTGTTCAGGCCACTCAATTATCCAGCATATTTTGTTATCCAGTACCCTCCCTTACCTGTGGATGCCAGATAACAAAGCTTTTAAGCTTTTACAAAGCTTTTACAGAGTTCATGGCATTATGTGAGAGTACCAGGAAGAATTACAAGTTGCAGAATCTGACCTTCCTTACTCATCTGCAGATATACAGGGATTCTAACAGCCAGACAATATAAAAAGCTACCTCCAAACTTGCATCTACAGAAATGCTCCAAACAAAAATATTGCATAAACTAGACCAGGGCAGGCAATCATTTCAGCTGGAGGGCTGTTTAACGAGTTTTGGCGAGCCGTTGAGGATTGCAAGGGTAGCCCCACCCCTTGACACATGCCCCGCCCCCTGGTTGCCATCTTGGGACTGGAAGTCCCGTCCCCAGTCCTGAGCTTTGTCACTGGAAGTCCCTCCCCTCAGCCCAGATGTACTCCATTTGGGAAGGGGGTTTGGCATCATGGAACTGGCAAAAAAAAAAAAAAAAAAGAGTATACACTAAAACAAACATCCTCAATAACATATTTTAATTTTCTTAAAAGAATATTTTTCTCCTGATTTGTGTGTGCTTTGTTGTGTATATAGTGGTGATTGTATAATGGCTCAAAATGAAGTCTTACTCTTGTATACTGCAGCGGTGTGGAGGGTATGGGTTGGTGGGTGTGGGGTTTGCGGGGGGCTCTGTGTGTATGTGGGGTGTGGGGAAGGGTGTGGCTGTGTGTGTGTGTGTGTGTGTGAGTATGGGAGTGTTTGTGGGGATGTGTGGGTGTGTGTGTGGCTGTGTTTGGGGTTTGTGGGGTATGTGGAGGATCACTGGGTGTGTGTGGGGGGAGTGGGTATGGGGTGTGCGTTGAGGTGTGTGGGTGCATGTATGTGGTTAGATGCAAGTGCGCAGCAGTGAGCTGGGCTCCCCTCAGAGGCATGCGGGGGTGTGTGTGGGGGGCCTGAGTGTGGGGTGTGGGGGGGAGGGTGTGGCTTTTGGGGTTTGTGGGGGAAGGTTTCTGGGCACGGTGAGGTGTGCATGGGAGGCCCCGCACACATGCCTCCCTGAGCCAGTCAGCACCCACCCCTGCCCCACAACTCCCCAGAACCCGTACACCCTGCGGCACGTCCCCACCACCCCACCGCCAGCAGTGCGCAGCCCCAGCCTGCCCCACGTCTGCTCTGGATTGGCTCTGGCAGGAGTGGACCAGCTGGAATTTGGCCACAGCCCCAACCCGGCACACTCCACGCCTGCTCCAGACTCACTTGCTCATGCTAAACAGTGGCAGCAGCAGCACTAGCCAGGTGGAAACTGTTGTTCAGCATGGAAGAAAAGCAGTCCCTCCCCCTTGCCGCTGCAGCCACTCAACGCCTGTGCCTGGCCTGTGGGCCATATTTTGCCCATGCCTGAACTAGACTAACACAAATCCCAGCAAAGGAGGTAGATTGGATTCTGCACCCACAGGAAAACCAATCCTTACAACAGACAGGAAAGGTGTATAAAGGAACCATAAAGTAACCAGATCTCCTTGAATGGAAAAAGGCCAATGCTCCTTAGGAAGAATGGCCTGGTAGTTCAAGGAAATGAGCTCCTGGTTGTGCCAAGTTACCCTCCAGAGCTTCTGCTAGTAAAGGAGTAGAAAGAAATACATATTTCAGCCTGAAGAGATGAAAACCCACCCAGATCCAAGAGCTGTATTTGCAAAAGCCTGAAGTCTGTGTTCTTAAGCATGTGCAGTATGATTCAAAACATTAATTATAATCAGCAGCGATTATCTTGGTTAAAGGTCCATACTTAATTGGTGTTATCTAATTGGAGAAGTAGTATGAGACCAAAAATTACAGCCTGTCAGAGTGCAGATGACTAAAAAGAAAAGCTTAAGTCATGAGTTGCCTGCCCTTGGAGTACTCATCTTTGCCAAATATAACTTAATTTATCTTTTTGCATTTAAAATGCATAGCTAGAGCCTTGTCAACATCTGCTTACCTGAGCCAATATCTTAGTGAACCCTATAAAAAGTAAAGGACAAAACTGCCAAAGAAAAGAACTCAGCCATAATTTCTATCCATGTGCACAACTTTTAATGTTGGTGTTATGTGCACAGAGAAACTGCCTTCTGCTAATATCCGTGTATACAAGTGTGAAATAGATAAATACTCCGCTTATCAAATAAGACTACTGTTTATCCTCCGTGACATGTAACCTGGCTGCACCTGCTTTCAATACTCCTACAAGCTAAATATTGAATACAAACCAGACCTCAAACAGTTAAAACAAATTAAAGATATTCCAAAACACTCAGGAGCACTGTGAACAGCAGGAGTCCCCCAGTGGTAAAAATACCTCAAAAAGATCTCCTCCTCTTCTTGAATACATATTATACAGTATTTTTTGGCAGTTAGCCAAAGCACCGTCTTTAGATAGCTGCAGGGTGATCTGGAGAGGTGGGTATTTCAATAGCTTTGCTACTCTTTAAAAACAAACAGTTGGAATGAATACATTTACTGTACACCAATAATATGCATTTCAGAAGTCACCATGATAAAAAAAAAAAAGTCTACAAGTTTCCCCAACACGTTTTTATAAACTATTCTTAATATAAATAGTAATAATAGGAAACTTATCTGTTTTTCTACTGCATCACACAATAAAAAGCTGCTACAAAAAAAAAAAAAAAATCAGACTGCAGCATTCAGCTCACATCGTGGGGAAAAGATAATTTGCAAAGTAACTTTTGCAGGTAGCAAGGCTTTCTGAATTAACCATCTTTTAAACATTAGAAATTTTTTAAAAACGTAGAAAATAGTGAAGGGGGATATATAACAACCCTTAATTTTGTATGGCATGCTGCTTGAGTCTGATTTTGTTCAACATGTAGCATTTGCAAGGAGATACGTTATGAATGGTCTCCCTCATCTATCAGCCCTACCCTTTTGCCACAGACGCAGTATGTAGTATTTCAGCTATGTACAGTTATGTAGACGCTGCGGCTAACAGCGATGAAGCGTTCTTTTCACATTCTCCAGTCTTATAGCTGCATGAGAAGGAGCCTTTTTTTTTTTTTTTGGAGAACTTTAAGGCCATTACCATTTATTATATTTCTCATTCTGATTAAAGACTAAAACTAGTTAGTAAACGTTCCTCAGTATTGATTCTTCAAAGCAGTCCCAGTCCTTCAATTAGCATATACAATTGTTAAAAAGGAGAAGGCAATTTGCCCAGTATTTATTCCTTTTTGGCCAAAATAATTCATTCTTTAACTTGTAAGTAAGAGTTTTATTTTAAATGACAGCATTTTAATTTTCTTCTGTTTACAGTCTGGGCCAGATACCGCATACTGTCTGCATTACAGGAATGTACAATTGTTTTCTGAAGATCCCACTGAGCACAGCTTTAGAGGAAAGGACTGCCATTTACCAAATCAATTTCTTTCACCTCAAGTCACCGTCCTCGGTATAGGAACTTATCGATTACCTTTTAGACATGGCTTTTGTTTTGCTTTGTTCTGTCTAGGGTTAAAAACACATTTAAAGCTCTCAAATTCATTTCAGAAAGCTACATTGTACCATTCTTTACAGTTGCTACATTACAAATTTAATTTTTTAAACAAGGCAAACTGGAGTAATAGCTAATTATTGTTTAGTTGGCTTCAGACAGATATTGATTTAGATAAGACTTTTATGCTGACATTTTCTCTTTAAAGTAATGCCACAGTTCATCAGCTTTAAAGCCTAATATGAACTGATGATAAAGGAAAGTACTCTCTTATTGATAACATGGGGAATTTATAAGCTTATTTTCAATTAGTGTTAATGAAATTTACCTAAATACTGAGCTTCTAGAACACAGTAATGGGCAGGAAAACCTTAAAAATAACAAGTGTGAACATTTTCTGGCTCGTTAGGAATTAACACAAAATACAATTAAAAATCTACATGGCAGTTACCTACAGTACCTACTATCATAAGCCTGATTGTACCACTGCCATTAAAGGATGAGCAAGCAACTGACATTTTGTATAAAAAAAATACCATAATCATGTACTATTCATGGCAACAGAAGGAATAATGATTAACGAAAGAGAAGAAACCATTACACGACTGGTTCAACCCAACCTGCAACCTGGCTGCATAGTAATCAAAAGCAATCATTATCAAGTTGCACAATGGACTACATGGAATGAGTCTGAAGGTATCTTTTCTATGACATGGGTGCCAATGCTATGGAAATTTCCCTTAGAGTTGACACCTTTGTCCCTGCTAATCAGTAAAGGACTGATTTAGGGCATAAAGAATGAACTATCCTTCCATTTCTAGAAGTGATCTTTGCAGGTCTGCAATACAGGGTCACATAACAAACATTTGCTTTCCTCTGTTGTGCTGGACCTGATCTGTGAAGGAATAGCTCAAGGCTGGTTTTATATCATCAGGAAGGCACTTTTCTTGTGCATGTTCGTCCTTAAATTGAGAAACAAATTAAATAAAAGGTATCAATTATTAATTTACTTCCATTTACACATCTATGTTCCCAGAGCTATTTTTCAAAAAGGTTCCAGCTGCCAAGGTCATGTTGGAGTAGAAATAAGTTGGATTTAGTTTTACAATAGAAATGGGACTTAAAGATAACTGGCACACCAGGTCAGAAATGGAATAATTACATGTTTCCAGCTTTGGAAAACAATGTATTTTTTTCTCTCTCAGCATAACTGTCCTAAAGTAAAATCTGCACTGGCTAAAAAATGCACTTTAGAGGTGTTACATTTAGACTGTGTTCTTATATTGTGGGGGCCCCCTCCAAAGACAAACAACGGTCCAGCAATTTTAACACAAAATTATAGAGAAGATTAAGTACATTTTAACATGCTGAACTTCTTTGCAAGGCCCCTCTAATTTTCTCCCGTGAAGGTAGGACATTTGGCAACAGGAAGGGACTTCTCACACATCATCAGCCTTGGGAAAGGCGTACTTAAAAACGCATATAATTCAACCTCTCAGAGTAGCTCACTTCATCAGACCATAAGTGTTACCAGAACACTGCAAGTGTTGCAGTCTCCATTTCACTCTTTAGAAAACTAAAATTGAAGCGAAATAACCATCAGTGTAAGAAGTGACATATTTTCTCAGTCTATACGAATTTATGTACAAAAGCCCATAATTGTCATGACTTTTCAGGATGGAATCATATATGCAACTTTTATCCATGCAATGCTCAACAGGGATCTGACAAGTAGATTTATCAATTTATAGCAGAATTCTGTATTATTCAGACACCTTGCTCTTTTCTGTCATGGTTTGTTTCCATTTTGGAAAAGTTCCTGTTTGTTTCAGACCTAATGCCTAACATCTTCTATTTCCAAAGCCATATGTACAATCATATCTAAAATGGACAATTTACTCTTGCAATTGGATCACAATCCTGCACAACTTAAGACATATGAATCAGCCCACTGACATCAATATAAATGCGAATACAATCTGCAAGAAAGGGTTCCTGATTAGTATCTAGTTTATTTAAAACACACACATACAGAGTACACAGCTATCGCTTTTAATCTGCTCAACCAAAGTTCTCTTCCTTATTAATAGCATGCAAACTTTTTATTCCTACATAATACTAAATGGTTGTTCTAACAGACATTTTAAACTGTTGCTTCAATGTTCATTAATTCAAAGGTACTGGTATACAGACTAAATTCCTGCTTTTTTAAAAACAATAACTGGAGATCTCTGTTTATTTAGACATTAATCTTTTGGGATTGCTAGCCAAAGGGCCAGGAAAAACTTTCATTATTTTACCTGTGATTTATGATTTATGATTAAATTTATGCTGTTATCATTAAAAGCCTGTCAAATTTATCTTCCTCTCCTAAATTCATTTTTCCCCAAGACAATGTAGAGAGAAACTATCACCATATGAGTTAAGCAGGATTAACAAATTAGTTAGTATGATTTGACTAGGACCTATAACTATTTGTATTCATAAATATGTTAGAGCTTTCAGTAATTTTGTTTTCTAGGGTTAAATGGTTAATTCCTATGTATGCAAATATAAATAATCAAACTATTTCAAGTCTTTTCTTATCCATGCATATGTATATAAGAATCCTGTGATGCTCAATCACCTAACACAACTCTCGGCAAGATGTTTCATGGCTTTACATGGTCTGCCTTTGGTGACTCCTCTTCTCTTTGCCACATTATCTAACTGCCCCTTTTAGTCCCTTTTTTTTATGGCGCACCTAGACCCACAGGGTCTTCCTTATCCCATCTCTCCAGACAAAACCCCTCTCATCCTTCACAGCTTTCCTGAAGTTCCTGCTATTTTCAGCAATCTTCAAGTGAAAGTGAGAAACCAAAAAAAAAAAAAAAAACCAGTCAAAAGGGAAAGTATAGCCAGTGAAGTGATACCAAGAAAGTGTTGTGAGTGGTACACAGGGAGAAGAATTTGGATGTATTTTGGCTACATCAGAGAGAAGAAAAGGAAAACCCGACAGACCGTGAGGTGGCTAAAGGAGTTTACCAAGGCATAACCAAGAGTTTGGGAACTAAGGATGGGAAGAGATGGGGTTTGGACATGGTGTAAGGGGAGAATGGATAGCATTGAGCAATACCCTAAAAGGGACAAAGGAGAAGGAGGTGTTAACAGCAGCATGGAGGTTGCTGGCCTTGTGGAAAAGCAGAACTGTGGAGGAAGAGAGGCACAAGGAATTCAGTTTTTACCATCCTGAATTTTAGTACTGGGCTTATGATATAGAAGTTAAAAGGAAGATTGCAAAAGCATGAACACTTTTGAACCTCATCAGCTGCATGACAAAACTTTAATGGGAAAATGTATTTTACGGACATCAGAAAGTGATAAAATCACATTGCCAGCGAATGCAGAAATTCATCTTTATTTATGGGTTTCTATTCAAATTGTTTGATATCTTCAACTCTCTTTACAACCCATCATTTCTGCAAATTTCTACAAAAGAATAGCTATCTCTATGTCATTACGCTTTGTGTCATGTAGCTCTCATGCTACATTTGTAACCTAAGTGCAGATTGTACAGGACAATAGCTTGACATTCGTAAAAACTGGTTTTTATGTATTTGACATCATAACTAGGACTCTGCTGGGAAAACAAACAACAGAAATAGCATTAATTAGTTACCTTCCTATATTATTGCATGAGTTCCATCCAAGGAAAAGATTAGAAGGTGCCAAAATAAATGAAATGTGTGGGTTTTTTTTTTATAAAAAGTTAGCAAAATACTATTATAAACATAAACTATGACGTTTGCATTGGCAAATCTCTCTAAACAGAAAAACTGCTCCTTGTACCATACTTTTAGAATCAAATCCTCTAACCATATTCCTTCCAGAAGCTTAACTTAGATGAATCCCCCGCATACTTTATCATCTCCTATGACAAATAAGTTCTGTCTTACAATGCAAGAATTCTTATTTGTCTTCATTAAAACACAAGCACTTTAGCAATCGTATTTTGAACATACTGTCAACAGTTGACAGATACTCCAGGGTCTTTTAGTACTGTCAAAATAATTCCTAAGAGTCAAATTTAAACGCTGGTATAATTTTGAAAGTGTTTTAAAATGAAACGGGACTGGATCACCCTGCTCCTGCCCCTGAGAATGACACATGGCAGCGTGCTGCTCTTTTTGCAATTGTTCCCTTTGTGGGTTCACCAAGTGCCCCATCCTCAGCTGGGTACCATAGGAACTCTGCCGGGCAAGTACACCTAATCAGTGTGCCCTCTGATCTATGCAGGTTTTATCCCATCCTCATCTTTGTAATGTCTGAGCCCTTTATGACACTAAACTACCACTACTACTAAAAATCTGTCACATGGTTTATTCTCTCTCTCACCGTCTTTCTATCCTTCTGTGCTGTGTCCAGCCACCACTACCAGCTTTTGGGACTGAGGTGGCTGTTTGCCAGTCCCTGCAATAAAAGAGCATTGCGGGAACCTTATGCTCTAATATTCTTGTTGAGTTCCCTGCTCCTAGGGGCCCTGTAACAATCGCGGATGGCTTCTAGTACCAACGAACGTGGAGTGACTGTGTTGGTTAGTATGTCTTATCCAAATTTTTACAGTCGGCTTCTCTCTCTGTCCTTACCTCGTGCACTTGACTCTCCAAATAATCTGGTTGAAATCAATGGGACTACACGTGGAGTAAAGTATTATTCAATACGGTTGAGACGACACAGAATCTGGCCTTTTACGAGAGGTTGGACAAAGTATTCTAAGACGGGCTTGGGCGAGCCAAAAAAAAACCCAATCACATATCATTAAAAACACATGTATGTAAGAAGTATTTGATGATGAGCAAAATGTTTTGTATTTAGAAGCAGAATTTGTTTCTTAATATCTTTAAGAGAGTTGTTAGACAAGCTTTGAGGCACAAAACACTGTTCCCTCAGGCGTTTCCTCAGGCTGTGAACTGAGGAAGGGTATTTTGTGCCTGAAAGCTTGTCTAGCATCTTTTCCAACCATACACATGGTTCAGTTCAAGATATTACCAGACAAATCCTGCTTCTCATGTATCCCTTGAGCCATCCAACTATAACAGCACTACGATGCTAATTCAATTTAAAAAGCATTTAATAATCTTTGCATCCAAGTGCTACACTCAGACAATACCTTATCCACCTAAGTAATTTTGGCTTTTCTTGAAAGATGTATTTAGAGTACAGGAGCCTCCCCACTACCTACAAAGTAAGACCCTCTGCTGCCATGGACCTGACAAGTGTTCGCTGTATCTGGGCATGGAGAACGGGACACTCAGCAGAATTTCTACAGCCTACAAAGAACCTCAAACCACTTTTAAATGACTCAATTGCCCTCTCACCACCTTTTCTTTTGCAACCCCTGGTAAAAAAAAAAACCTTAGAAAATGCACTGCTCCTCAGCATGCCAGGAGATGAGGCATATTCCTACAGACTCCATCATTTCACTATACTCTCTCTGTCTCCTTCCTTCTACGAAGGGCTAGTATGGTACCTTCTATGCTGAGCTCATGGCTCCTATTTGGTTGGACTCTTGGGAAGAAAGAGAGCTCTACCTGCTCCATGGACGCTGGCTTTTGGAGGCCTGCAGGGGTAACAAACAGGCAACACAGGCCACTTCTTTTCCATGAAGACCTTTGACAAAATTGCTCCCCTCTCATTAAGGCATCAGCTAAACTGTAAACCGATTATCCTGACACTAGTCTTTTTTGCCTGATTTCAGTGCAGAGGCCTGCTCACACTCCTACAGAGGTTAACAAGAAGAGTAGTGTCTATGTTGGCCAGTCTCCCACTTTAGAAAGGTACTTAAATCGCTTATCAGAATCAGGTTCTTTGTCCAGGGATACACAAAACAGCAAACTCGAAGTGCTTCAGAGAGTCAACAGTCATCAAAGTGATTTTCTTTTGTGTAGAGTCCAATCTGATCATAAAAAGCAGAAGTGGGAAA